GTCTTCAGCACCAAGGACTGCCCAGAAGAAGAGGAGCCATGTCAGAAGGAGGTGGATAAAGATGCCTTTCTGCAACCCAAAACTCCCCCCCATAACAGTGGGATTTTGGATCACACAGAATCACACAGAACCATTAAGGTTGGAAAAGACCTTCAAGATCATCAAGTCCAACCGTTAACCCAATACCACCATGCCCCCTAAACCATGTCCCGAAGCGCCACATCCACACGTTTCTTGAACACTTCCAGAGGTGGTCACGCCCCCCCCTCCCTGGCCAGCCTGTACCAATGCTTGGCTACCCTCTCGGTGAAGAAATTTTTCCTAATATCCAATCTAAAGCTCCCTTGGCACAACTTGAGGCCATTTCCTCTCATTCTATCACTAGTTACTTGTGAGAAGAGACCAACACCCACCTCACCACAACCCCCTTTCACGTAGTTGTAGGGAGCGATAAGGATCCTCCCCGTCCACCTTTCCTACTCAGTGTCAAGCCTGGGCATTGCTTTGGATCCCATTCTCTGTGCCTGGCAGGGCTGAAAAGTCACCTTTTCCTGGGTTATGAGGAAAATGAAAAAGGAATAGAGCCACAGCAGAGCTAGTTTTCACATAGCCACTGGAGGATTAGGTGTCCCTCTTTCACTCGTCTTCTTCCCCACTGCACATGGGTGGGCAGGGTCCTCTCATGGAGCTAAAATGATGTGCATGGAAAACATTTGCAGGATGGGACAAAGGGGTCAACTGATTTAAATCAGCAAAATAGAAGTCCAGCAGTGCATAAGTCTCAGCAACAGGTATGTTGTGCTCTGACTGCATAACTTTCCCTAGTCCATTATATTAAGCCATAAAAAGAAAATAATTTTAAAAGAGACTTTCTATGGCCTTCTGGATGTGCTTTACACTGTGTTGTGTCGATGCAGGGCTGAAGCCTTGTGTTCTGAGACACGCACAGCACTCACCCTGCTGCCAGGGCTCTCAGTACACCGATAATCTCTTGATATTGTTTAAAACAGAAACCAAGCATGCTCCTCTTCACAACACACATTAATGAAAATGCACAACATTTCTACAAAGCTTTACACAGCTGATCAGAAACCTCTATGACAATTAGGCATAGCATCTAAAGATACTTCAGATTCTTGCTAGATCCTCAAACACGTGAATGCTACCACATGCTTTCCTTCATCATTGCCAGAAAAAAATCAAACCTCAAGAGGCTCTACAGAGCCTAAGTCTAAGGTCAGCAGCCAGAATCAGGTATTAGGTGGCAGGATTTGGGATAAAACA